GGGTGCTTGTGGGGCGAGGCCATCCGGCCTAGAATAGGAGGGAGCTTAGCTCTAGATCCTCCTTGCTTGCAAATGGAATGTATTTCACCTTTTTTCTTTCCCGTTTAGACCAACCTGCCATGTATAGTTTAGTCGTCTCTTTATGCGACGGTTGATTCTCCAGTTTCGGATGCCTCTGGCTGGGTCGGTCGCACATTCAACATAGCGTTCGGACTCATGTGCCTAGGCAGCTGCCTAGCTTCCTAGGGTCCAAAGTCGGCACTGTATGCGATGACGATGATGAACAAGAGTTAGGCACAGCTGTTAGAATAAAATTGGGAGAAGGCTCAAAAAGGACACTGAGGTTATTTATGAAGTTCATATTAGACACTAAGCTTTTAAGTAGACCATATATTAATACATAAACAACTTATTTGGATTATATTTGGCCAGCCACTCACATTTCCGTTTAACTCAATGTTAATTGCCCGGGCCTCCACCTTCAATCTCCTCGTCAGCTTGGCAACGCCATCCCCAATTTCGTAGCGCCATCCCCAATTTCTTAGCCCCACTTCTATATTTCAGTCCCCGCCGTCAAGAAACCCCTCTCTTCTACTCATTTGACCTGTCTCCAATCCATCGTTGCCGTCTGTCTTCTTCAATTTGCATCTAAACTCTGCCCCGCAGAGCCCTCCAAGTGATCTCAATCACCTTCTCAACCCACGTCTCCAAAAAATCTCTACTTGCGGATCCCAATAGTGAAACTACATCGACATCTAATCTAGTAATTGGAAGAAGCTATGATTTACTATCGAAATTAATTATTAGGGCTTCACGCCACTGAGGAATGCCCTCCCTATTCGGGAGTATAATGTAGAATTCCAACGAACTCACAACTAGTTGCTTATATTTTATAGAGCGTGTATTGATTTTAGCTAATTTTAGTTCGTATTACTTGACTACTCATGATGTTCATTGGTTATGAAATTTGTGTGATAGTATTACAATGAAAGTTTGTCCTCTGCCAAATGTCTCAATATATGCTACTGTACAAGATCTAACATGATCATGTCTCAAGTAACTAATTTTTGTTCATATATTGATTTTTGAAAGTACACAGATGGACTCACAATCAATGTATGTTGTGTGCAAAAAATTGTATGTGCCCATAAAATAATAAAATAGTTGTCTTGTGAATAAATAACAAGTTTTCAGACATATTTTTCACACACAAAATATATGTATGTGTTTTGCTGATCAATGTTTTTAACAAATACTATGTAACATTTATCTGTGCTAAAAAAAATATTTTCTCCATCTTTTAAAATTTTGCCAAATTTGACTAGCACGAGAATTAATAAAGTAAAAATGTATGATTGAGCTTTGTGCAGTGAAATGAAAAAAAGAATAAATCGGAGCCACAAAAATCTACTTCAATAGAAAAATGACAAGTTAGTGAGACAATAAATAAATAAAAGTTCATAAAATTTTAAAGACAAATGGGAGCACAAGATTTCAAATAGATTTCTTACATATACAATAGTAGGGAGCGGATCAGGTGAGAAGTGCTCTTAGGTTGAGAACTGCGAAGTTAAACTTATAGACTAAATATAGGAACTTTTAACCAATAAATCATAACTTATAAACCCCTCGAAAATAATTACAAAAATGCCACCGCAAAAAAATAATTACGGAAACCTGAAATTTTTTTTGACGCGGTGACATTTTCGTAATTATTACGATGAGCTTTATAAGTTATGATTTATTGGTAAAAACTCAAAATAGGACTTGCAATGTTTTTTATTCCAAAATAGGACCATAGTGGTCCTATTGGAAACATAACCATTTCTTCTTCCATTCTTACCCCTCCTTTAAATATTAGTAAAAGATAGCTAAAAGTCATAATTAAGAAGTTGTTCCGTTCGTCTTAATCTTATTACTTATTCCTTAATCTTATTTTATTCAGATCAGATCAGATCAGAAAGATTCAGATCAGATCAGATCAGAAAGATTCAGATCAGATCAGATCAGAAAGATTCAGATCAGATCAGATCAGAAACATTCAGATCAGATCAGAAAGATTCAGATCAGATCAGCAACATTCAGATCAGATCAGAAAGATTCAGACCAGATCAGACCAGATCAGAAACATTCAGATCAGATCAGAAACATTCAGATCAGATCAGATCAAAAAATTCAAACATGATTTATCACTTTTATTATTATATTAATTATGATTATTATATTATAGTTATTGTTAATAATATTAATATATTAATATAATAATATTATTAATAATAATATAATAATAATGTTAATAATATAAAATTATTATTATTATATTATAATAATATAATATAATATAATATAATATAATATAATATAATATAATATAATATAATATAATATAATATAATATAATATAATATAATATAATATAATATAATATAATATAATATAATATAATATAATATAATATAATATAATATAATATAATATAATATAATATAATATAATATAATATAATATAATATAATATAATATAATATAATATAATATAATATAATATAATATAATATAATATAATATAATATAATATAATATAATATAATATAATATAATATAATATAATATAATATAATATAATATAATATAATATAATATAATATAATATAATATATTCATAATTATAATTATAATTATGATTTACAATGTAATTATAATTATAATCATCATTATTATTAATATGATTGTTGTTCTTGTTGTTATTTTTGTAATTATTATTACTTCGGAGTAATTATATATTTAAATTAGTAATTATAGATATAATTATGATTATAGAGATAAATATTATAATTATAATTACAAAAAAAATAATTATAAAACTAATCATAATTAAAAATATAATTACATTTATAATTGTATCTGTATTTATAATTAGTGTAATTGGTATAATTATTATAATTTTAAATTTAATTTTAATTATTATTATTTTATAATTATGATTATAATTGTAATTTTATTTAAGTTATATTTTTAATTACAATTATAAATCTTATAATTATAATTATAATTACAATTATAGAAATATTCAAATCAGATCAGAAAGATTCAGATCTGAAGAATTCAGATCAGATCAGAAACATTCAGATCAGATCAGATCAGCAACATTCAGATCAGTTCAGCAACGTTCAGATCAGATCAGATCAGATCAGAAAAATTCAGATCAGATCAGAAAAATTCAGATCAGATCAGATCAGATCAGAAAAATTCAGATCAGATCAGATCAGAACTTAAAAAATTCAGATCGGAAACATTCAGATCAGGTGAACGGAACAGCTTCTAAATGTTTAATTCATAATAAATTCGAAAAAATTTCAATAATTCGTAGAAAAATAATAAAAAAATTAATAAAATTTTTATAAAATAAAAAATAAGAAAAAAAAATTATTCTTTTTTTGAAAATTAATAAAAAATAGTAAAACTCCATAAAAAATTAAAAAAAAATGGATACCTTTTCCACCGCCTGTACTACCTCCTTGAACCACCACCTCCGATCGGTGTAAAAAATGCCACTTTTTTTTTTAAATTCCACAAAATTGGCATATTTTTCTAAGAGAATGCCAACATTTTCATTCTGCCAACTTTAATCCTTTTGACTTTTGCCAAAAATATGGCATTCATAATTTTTTTGGCATTTTTTTACCCCGGTGACAGGAGGTGGTGGTACCGCCTCCCTGCACCACCACCTCCGACCGTTAAAAAAAATGCCATATTTCCTACAAACTTCCCTTTTTTCGGAAAATGCCAAAAATATGGCATATTTCTCTTTGACAATGCCAATATTTTTTTTTTCTTCCATCTTAAATCATTCTGAATTATGCCAAAAATATGGAATTCATAATAAATTTGGCATTTTTTCCCCAAATGACTAGAGGTGGTGGTGCTGGGGCGGCAGAGGCGGCGGCGACAAAAAAAAAATTGATTTTTTTTAAATTTTTTTTTTATTTTTTTTAATTTTTTTTTAAATTTATTATTATTCAAAATATTTTTATTTATTTTTTGGTAAATTTTACGAATTTTTATTATTTTTTATTATTTTATTATGAATTAAAACATTCCAATAGGTATAAGGGTATATTTGTCCAAGACACACATAATTAGTCCTATGGAAACATAGTTTATTTTTTGGTCCTATTTGTGCAAAGTGAATGACTTTTAGTCCTATTTTGATAATTAACTCTAAGTTCATATATTTACTCTATCAGTTTACTGCGTTGTAAGATCAGATGCAAATCCAATGGCTGATATTAATTCTCACTTCTCACTTTAAGGGTCACTTCTCACCTGATCTTTTCCCCACAATAGTATGTAGGTGTACAACCCAGTGTGACCAATTAACACATTTGTCAAAAACATTTTTCCAAGCCACAAATTATGTGTGAACTAGTTTTATAGATGACTATTACTTTGTGTCAAAATGATTTGCAACATCTATTTTTCTTTATTAATATAATTAACTTTCAATTTACTTATTTGGTATATCGAATTTCTTACTCCGTATTATATTTTAACTTGGAATTCAATAGGGACTTTCAATAGTTTCGAAATATGAAAATATACTCATAAAAATTAATTAAACTATTTGCAAAAATAATTTAAATTTTTTGGCATTTAATAAAAAGAAAAAAATAATTAAAATACCCAAATTTTGAAGAGGTGTGAGATAAACACCTCAAACTTACACATGTAATTTAAATACTCCAAACATTATATAAAAAGTTATTTTAGCATGTTGGTCATGTATTACTTCTTTCAAAAATGTTAATTTTTTGTGTTAATTTCATAATTAAAATATTTTAGCATTCATGAAGATACAATTAATATTCTAAACTTTCATTGTAAAATAAAAAATATTACCCCCACTCTATATAATTGAAACATTTTTAATTTTTTATTTCAAATTATGCAATTAACGCCTTAAACTTATATTTTTGGGAAAAAATAATATACATCAATGGCGCTAAAATAACTTTTTATATAAAGTTTGGGGTATTTAAATTACATATGAGAGTTTAGGGTGTTTATCTCAAACTCCTTCAAAGTTTGGGGTATTTTAATTATTTTTCCCTAGTAAAAAAATCTTAAATTACAAATCAACTCAGGTAAATTACAAAATTTAGAAGCAGAGGCAGCGATAATATAAAATACTCCCTCCGTCCCAGAATTAACTTCGGTTTTGACTGGGCACGGAGATTAAGAAAGTGGGAAATGTGTGGTGGAGAGTTGTGTAGAGGAGAGAGAAATGTGTAAGAATGGTTGTGAACCACAAATCCTTTGCTAAAAAGGGAAAGAGGAGATAAATTTGGGACAGACCAAAAAGGAAAGAATGAAGATAATTATGGGACGGAGGGAGTAACAAGAAGAATCTATCGGATAGCCAATGTAATGTGGGGAGGGACTATTGGTTCCAGCTGTTGCTTGGCATAACTTCTGCAAACTTCTTCTCGTTCCAACTCGTCGGGATCTAGTGGTGTATGCAACAATTCTAGCGGCATGGATGGATCGATTATGATTTGTTGAAGCCCAACACAGTTTTCCACAATGAACATCACTACTTCCATATCACTGCAGCGGCCGTAATAGCCCAAGTACTGGAACACCTTAAGGTGTTGGTGTGGAAATGGTGTCCCCTTATTCACTTCTCTGCTAGCACATGACAATGTCCCGTTATAGCCAATCTGCACATGAAAAAATAACCAACAATGATTCTGTCTGTCTGTTTCTCCTATACATGAATATACAAGGACAACATGCAAGCAGCAAAATTCCAGAATCATTTAAATAAGACAAGCATTCTCACAAAACCAGAACACTGTGATTATAGAACAACATCCAAGCCTCAGTCCCAAAAGATTGATTTTGGGGTCGGCTGACATGGAATCGATACATTATATCGGAGCCAAAAGGAAAAGAAAGATAAAAAGTAAGGTATGATAAAATGGGGAAAAGGGGGAAAACATACAAAAAGCCAAATGATAACGCACAAATAGTCAGACCCACCCACCATCAACAAAAACTCTTCTAGGTTGGGAGATATCCTCATGAATGTCATTAGCCCAAGAACACTTGCATCACGTTCTGGGGTAAAATCTACAACCAGCTTCTTCAACTCGAGCAGCTCAGGGAAGTTAAACCGCGCAATATCATGATCCTGCAAGCAAAGTGGTAAACAACTCTAAGGAACCAATAATATATATATACAATACCAGTAACATCAGAGCCTTATTCCCAAAAGATTTTGGGGACAAGGCAGCAACTGTGTTGGAGTAAATATTTGATTTAATGATGGTTGTTAGGACGTTTTTATGTATTAATAAGACAATTAATGTAATTAAGGAGGAGATTGACTACAATGAAACTGTCATAACGGACGAAACGTTCGGGAGATCATTAATTACTTCTCCTATAAATAGGAGTTATCCCATTCTAAATGGCATACTTTCTTATTCAAAAATACACCGAGTTCTACTCTTAATTAATTTTACCTTATACCCCCACGGCAGCCGCAAGGTAAGAATCTCCAATTGGGAAAAGCAACAAGATAGTGCAGGAACTAACAATGGCATGTGACGTTTCTGACAGGTAATAGCTAAATCCACCAGTATTGGAACATTCTCAAGTACGAGTCCTTCTGTTATCGAAACAGCAAGTGAAGTAAGGTTTGGTGCTGATACCTTAATGGATTCCAAACCAACGCAAAAACTTTCATACAGGCTTTTTAGCACGAGAGATGGACCACGAACTTCTAGATTTGATAATTGATTTATGTCTTGAAGAACTAATTGCTCCAGTGATGTGCAGTTGCGCAAGAAAAACTCAATAGCTTCATCATTGATCGAGATATTCTTGAAGCACAGCACTTTCAAGGAATTGAAGTTGTAAAGTGTAGTAGTTTGGTGAGGGATGTCAATGCTCTTTCGGAACAAGATGTCTTCAGGGAACACGTACTGTTTCTCTGATTCGTTATCGCCATATTCCAGAAGGTTCAACTCCAACCTCTCAACTCGTCTCTTAAAAGCAAACTTAAGCCACTTTGTAATGGTCCCAGAGAATCCTTTCCCTACATCAAAACAGATCCTGAAGTGCTCCAAGTTGAGCGCTTCTTTGCGTGGTGCAGATTTCAGGACTGAGTTCACCCACCTTACATACATGCGCCTCTCCTCACAACGTAGCTTGGGATCTCGAGCAATCTTGTCCAATGCGCTGCTTGCATTAAAATTGAGGCGTGAGGTTTGTTTCCACAAGTTCTTCCAACTAGATGAAAGAACACTCGTGCACCCAGCTTCCTTCAGCGGAAGAGAAGACAATATCACAACAAGAATGTCATCTGGAAGGCGACTCATCCAATCATAATTGTCCAATCTCTCAGCAGCACACTGTAATACCCAACAATATACAATTATATAAGGGAATTCAGAATTGCCTCGAAGGGTGAGACCATATGTCACACTCCAAAAAGATAGCTAGTTCGACTATAACTTGTGACACCCCCAAATATGCCTCACCCTACCATCATAGCCCAAATTGACATACTTAACTGCCAATTTTCGCCCCTTAAGGAGCCTATTTTTTCCCCCAAACTAAAAAAAAAAAGGCTCAACTTTTTAAAAAGGCACGAATTAGTTTGATGTACACTCTTATTCAAAAAAACAAGTTTGATGTACACTGAAGAGACTGACGTGAACCAAGGCGGCAGTTTTTTCCTGAGAGCTAATTGATAAATAAAAACTTTTGATAAATAAAAACTTTTGATAAACTTTTGATCAATTCATAATTGATGTACACTGCCGCCTTGAGTCATCTGTGTTTTCCTGAAGACACTGCAGTCTTTGATGTACACTTCTAGATTTGAGAATTGATTTATGTCTTGCGCAACTGCACATCACTGGAGCAATTAGTTCTTCAAGACATAAATCAATTATCAAATCTAGAAGTGTACATCAAAGACTTCAGTGTCTTCAGGAAAACACAGATGACTCGAAGGAGGCAGTGTCCATCAATTATCAATTGATCAAAAGTTTATCAAAAGTTTTTATTTATCAATTAGCTCTCAGGAAAAAACTGAGACGTGAACCAAGGCAGCAGTGCACATCAATTATCAACTTTTGATAAATAAAAACACAGCAGTATTTTGTAGATTTTAGGACAACAAAGGCCACAGTTTTTTCCTGAGAGCTGACCTTCTTTAGTTGAAACCTGGAATCACAGATGACAGAATTCCCACCCATCAAAGAATGAATCTTTGGGCTCCAAAACAATATCTACGGAGAAATAAATCCACTGTTAGGGGTTCGATAGGTCAAAATATTCAAAAGAGATGAAAAACTGAAGCCACTGTGAACTATATATAATTGCCTGCTTTTTAAAGCAAATTGAGCCACCACCTGCTCCAATCTTATTTGAAGAAAAGGTACTGTATAATACACCAAGCAGAACCCACCAGGAAAAAGTTACCTCTTTGTTCCCAGCAGCGCTTTCAGGAGCTTGCCTTGTTAAGTCAGTAGGATCCAAGAGTAGTGAAGCTGAGCTTTATGAAGCCTCTAATCTTGATGAGAGTAATTATATTAAAAGCAAAGCTAGCGGTTTTCCTCTGATTCAATTAGGATTGGTTTTTCCTACTGTCTGACTTTTCGAATGGATTATTAGATCGCGTATGGTATGGGTTGTCGCAAACGAGCAAAGATCAGATCTTTCTCTATCAAACACCAATCGACATAATCCTCAACATTGATCTCCAGGAGGCAGGAGCCTTTAAGCGGGCAGGAGGATAGTGGAGCTTGTGGTGTGTTACTTAAAAACATCCTTTAAAAGGACTTTTTTTTTTAAAGGATGCAATTTTTTAAAATTTTCAAACTAGTAGCCTACCATTGGAGTGTATATTACCTTCTAACTTGGACAAGCTAATTAGCCAAAACAAGCTAAATGCTAGAAAGGAGAGAAAATTGAACTAAAATGGTAACTCCCAAATATATTTAATTTATTTATTATAATTAATATACAAATCTAAATAAAGAGAAAGTCAGCAACGGTAATGTTTAAAAGGGTTTCAATATTACTATTAATTAAAGAAGTGCAATCCAATGATTTTTTCATAAAAAAAATTGGATGACACCCCATCCCTGAGGGGCCCCCAACACCGACTGGACGGCACGATGGGAGGATGTAAATTGGACTATAATCACAATACGACAGATAGAGAGTGAGGCTCTGTCCCCGGTACTTGCAGAGGCCCTATGCATTTTTCAGCATAGTAACCCCTCATCGCAGTTGCCGGGATTCGAACCCGAGACCTAACCCTTGTGGCACTCCCTTGCTACCAGTTGAGCTACCCCCAATGATTTTTTCATGAAATACTTAAGTTAAAGTTGATATTTTTCATATAGAATATTTTCGAGCAAATTTTGTATTCCTTATTTTGTTACTTAACAAAATACATATTTTTGTACTAATTTTAATAATATGCATTTTCATCCTCGTCTGCTTAATGTTGGGCGTTGGATTAATGTTTGGTCAAAGTCATAGTTGATGACCAACTTGATCAATCTGCCAGAAGTTTGGTTATGTTTGCTTGTCAACTTGATCGATTTGAAAATATTTAAAAATAAATATTATTTTTATTATATTAACAATAAAATTCATTCAAAATGTATATTTCAATATTGATTGATTTGTGGGGCCTATTCAAGAGGCAAGGGTTGTAGCTAACCATTGGACCATCACATTGCTGGAAAATGGATTAGCTAGAAAAAACTGAGGTGGCAAGCAAAGCTACAAAGTGTCTAGCTGATCGCTGGAGATGCTCTTAGTTACCCACGTCGTTTTCGGTCTCACACTTAAACACGTCATTAACAGATTACATCAAAACAGACAAAAAATGTTTCTATATTCCCAAAATATACAAACGTTTGTATATTTGACTAATTAATGTCATGTTTTGGCAGCACGTCAATACCAGACATTAAACATGGCAGTATTTTCTAAACTTGACAGTAATTGCTCCTATTTTAGGAATAAAAACATGGAAATCCTATTTGGAAATTTTCAAACTTATTTAATCTTATTTTTAGAATTTTCCCAATTTTGTAACATAAAATTATTTTGAAGATGAAAGTTATACTAGTATCAAAATTTCCTTACTCAACATAATTTCATTAAATTATAAATTATATATATTATATACAAATATAATAATTCAAATCGTTGTCCAAATTTTGTCATCATTGAGCAGGGAAAGTCAATATGGCGGACTTTTTCGTGATGCAGGTAGTATAATTAATAAATATAATTAATTGTCATTAGTTTCCTAGCATAATTAGAAAAGTGTGTTGCAGTGGCAATGAAATGTGTAACGTTTTTATGATCCACTAACAGGCGGCGGTGGAACTTCGACCGCCACAAGCGATAACAACATTATTGTATTGGGTATTTCGTCCAATAACAAAAAAAAACTCATTTTAGAAATTTTCATCAACAACTCTTATTTTTCGTTTTGATGATGTTTTACTGATATAATTGAAATTACTTCTGTGAAAAACTTTAACCGCTCTATTTACTCATCTTTTAAGAATGTTAGTTCTCGTCTTGTTCTTTCATTAAAAATGCCTAAAAATTGGTTTGGTGCTCTTAAGAGCGATGATTTGTTCCCTAGTGTATCTATGATTGTTATTATCTCGTCGATTTTGACAATCGCTTTATAGGTTATTTATGTTTAAATTAGCAACGCGAGTTGCTATAGTATGCTATATTATTTATTTGCTATTCATGAAGACATTATTCCAAGTGTGTTGGGGATGCTCCGCGAGGATGAGTGACCTGAACAATATGCTACATTTAAATATGAGTTTCATGTTTTATTTTTCTTAAATAGGATTCAACATTATAATTTTATTCTTAACTAGCACGTTACTCGTTCATACGCACGGGGAAAAACATTTGATCCATATATACTACGTATTTTTCTTCACGATCTGAATAAATGTAAAAAAAAGTTTTTTTTTTACAATTTTACATCATTTAAAAAATGGAGTACAATAAGTGATCGAATATCAAAAAGTATAAATTCATACAAGAAATATTCAAAGTGAAGAAAATTAAATTAAAAATATCGACATCAACCATTAGAATTTGCTACATAATACTATGTAATGAAAAAAAATGCTACATATGAGAGATAAATTCTCCTACTCAATTTTTAGTCTGCTTATCCTATCTTACACTTAAAGGTAGGGTTGGGCAAACAGGTACATGAACCGTGGGTCGGGCCATGTAATACGGGTTCGGGGCGGGTTAGGGCTAGGTCCTAATTTTGGAAAACCCAAATGGGGCAGGGTGAGTCCTAAAAAATTTAGGAACCGTACGAATATTAGAATTTGAAAAAATGGGTAGCGGACCAACCCGTTTAAAAATATATTTTTTTATCGAAGAGGGCTTATATCATTAAATTAGCATTCAGCAGGGGTGCAGGATAATAAAAGAACCACAAATAACCATCCGCCCTTGGCCGAGACTCAGAGTTAACCACCTTTACCAAAGCAGTATAACTCACTAGACCTGAATTGGGCAACATAAAGCCAATGACGGTTACCGTAGACCTCTCATCCCCCAAACATAATGCAAGAGTCTTACAAAAAAACATGAAAGTAAAACAGAAACATCCAACCATGAAATAAACAGATAAAACAAACATTAAAACTAAATCCAGTACTTGTCTTCCCAATCACCATCTTCAGATAAAAAGCTCGGCGGGACTAAAGAGCTTGGCCCGCCGCCTCCCCATTTTTTGGCCCATCTTGAGCCATTCCCTCTCCAGCTATACCTCCCTTGGTCTGACTTTCCTAGATTCTTCTGCGTTTAGTTTCGCCCGGGGTTTCTTCCTTACCATCCGTCTTGCCCTGTTGGGATATGCTAGCCTCTGAATCTGCTGAATACTCTCCCCCGAGATCAGACTTCCGTTGTTGACCGTATCCACCCGAACTAGAAGCCTCATTAACTAACCACTTGTTAGGTCCTGTAGGGTTTGTCTTCACCCTTCCTCCAGCTCTGAGATCAGCTCCATAAGATTTCTCAACAACAAAACCTTCCTCATATTTCAGTGGACAGAATTTATCCGAATGCCCAATTATCCTACACAAAAAACAGAAACTGGGTAGCTTTTCGTATTTAAAGTCCACCCAGTGTTTGACCCCATCCTTAGTTAAGGTAGTGCCTTTTTTCAAAGGCCTACACACATCCAAAACAACTCATATACGGAGATAAGATTTTTGATTGTCTTCTAAGTGACTTTTTCAAACTTAATAAAAGAGCCTAAAACATTCCCAATCTTCCTGGCAGATCCCAAATTCCTAAATTTAATAGGGACATTATGAACCTGTACCCAAAAACTAGCCTCAAACAAATTCATTGATTCAGGTATGTCATCTGGCTGAACTGCTTTTAGGAGAATTAAATCACGTTCAAACAGCCATGAACCATCCTCAATCACATGATTCATATCCAAGAGCTCTTGGAATCCTGGCAGCTTTACCTTTCGGTCCGTGACCACGATCCCCACCATCGGAAACACCTTCGGTGTTTCAGCCTCCTCACAGTCCTCCGCCCCCTCGTCGTCGAAGTTGAGTTCATTCTCCTTCTCGTCGATAGCCATCTTCTTATATGTATTGACAATATCCTCCATTCAAGCCTTCTTCGTTCGTTTGCCCGAGTCCCAATCGAACCAATCTATACTCCCACTGCATGTCCGACAAAACAGCCACACGCGAGTTCATCCAAGCAACAAGCACCTCCCCTGCCTTCGATCGTCTTTACCGCACCAGTCCCTCCGATCTTCGAAAGCCTCGAAATCGGAAAACGAAACCCTAGCGGCCACCGCCCTAAAGAGCTCTGAAGTTTTAGAGAGATAAACTCTCGCTCCGTTGATTCCAAACTTATTTTTGTTTAAAAATATTTTTTTTAAAAAAAAGTCTATTATATTTAATATAATATACTAAAAACAACCAAAAAATTTCATATTCATGAATTATTAAAAAGAGTTTCTAAATCCTTATAAGCTTCTAAATTAATATTCCCACTTTATTCCAAATGTATCAAATGTTCTTTATTTTTTTAAATACAGACTCTTGCTCAATAAAGTGTGCCATATTAATTTAATTATCTTAATTTTACTTACATTTTGAGATTTATTGAGCTTTAAATTGTTTTCTTAAACATATACCTATAGTGACTAGTCTAATTTCTTATGATTTTGTGGTGCTATCTTTTTAGTTTATGGATGATGATGTCTAATTTTTTATATTTCAAAGATTGGTGTTCTTTGACTTGTGTAACTGTGTGCTATTTAATTTATACATTTGTGGTTAGATATTTTGTCAACTAGCTCAAAACATTGTTATACATTTTTATTTTGAATTTTTACTACTAGTAGATTATAGTGACATTGACACTTAATTACTTTAAAATTTTTATTGCGTACTAGATATTTTGATAGTGTAGCGCTATTTTTTTAAAACGAGATCCCGGACTGACCCGACCCATTTCAAACGGGGCGGGAAACGCCCAGTTCCTATATCGAGTTTTGATATACCCGGACCGAACCAACTCATTCAATAGAACCGGTTGTTCCTAAAAATTTATCAATTATCCGGATCGACTTGGACCGTGTCCGCCCCTACTTAAAAGCACTATGAGAGAGAGAGAGAGAAAGTTATTCTGCTCAATTATAAGTACACTTATTTTCTTATACCTAAAAAGGCTGAAAGCACTACGTATGAGAGAGATAATTTTTTT